GGACCGATTTATCCTAGCTCTCCTGGCACCAGCCAGGCCGGGGCTATATTAGGAAAGCTGCCCCGGTGTAATTAAATCCATCTAAAGTCCCGGAGAAGGACACGTGCTCCGGCAGGGTTCGCTCGAGGCAACAACCCGACTGCGGCAAGGGAGGAAAAAAAGGGAAGACCCAGCGGGCAAGAGGAGCTGGACCACACTCCAGGGGCTTGGGAGACTCAGGAAGGTTGTGGGAGAGTGAAGTGGCAGAGCCCTGCAGGCTGCTCTAAATAAACATCCTTTCCTTTTGCCTTGTTTTCCTGCCCCTTTTCCAATAAAAGCTGAAGCTGATGTCATCCTGGGTCTGGAAGCTGGAGGCCCAAGGTAACGGCTCCGCTTTTAATGCAGCCCAGATGTGAGCAGGGAAGGCAGCACCTCTGTGCCAGCCCCCCCTCCCCAAACCCTCCGGAATTCCAGCCTCCCAAGAGAGCATCCCAATGCCAAGGGGCTGCTGGTGCACTGGAGCGTGCATCCATGTGCTCACGTGTGTGTTCCCAGCGGCAGAGTGGGATCAGGAGAGACAGATCCCCCCCCCCGCCCCGATCCACTGGCAGATCACAGATCCTGCATCCCTCCTCCTCCATCCCTCCTTCTCCTTTTCCACCTCTCCTTCTCCTCCTCCATCCCTCCTTCTCCTCCTCCATCCCTCGCAGAAAAGGGACACCCCGAGGTATTTTATTGTGATTTTTTTCAACGTGGCAGTGCTATTCCCACAGAAGCACTGGTGTGTTTTGGGGGGCTCACCTTGGTTTTTGGGAGCTGTCATTTCCAAGTCTGCAGGGCACTCGGCTTCGCCGTTCATCCTCCACCTGCCTGCGCCCAGCACGGTGCCGCCGGCTCCCTCCTCGCCCACTTCCCCAAATCACTCCCGCTCGGCTCTGCAAGGAAAGGGAGAGCCCTGCTAGGTACTCCCCCCACGACAGAGGGGAGCCCCCAACTCCTTTTGGGAAGTCTGGGGGAGCCTGACCCAGGTATCTGCCCACCCAGCCCATCCTGAGATGAATGAGGTGCTGGGATCCCCCTGCCACCCATCCCTGTGAGGTTTGGGGGGTGCAGGATCCCAGAAATCCAGCAGGATTTTGAATGGTGGTGTGACCCCCACACTGGTGGGGGGAAAAAAGGGGTGTGTGGCTAGGGCAGAAGGGTTTCCCCAAGGTGGGGGGGCAGGATCCAAGGGGGATCCCCACAGGTCTCAGGGAGAAGGATTCAGGGGCGATCCATGGGGTGGGATCAGCAGGATCTGACTCAACAGGGCTCAAAGGATCACCTAAGGGGGTTTACTTCCCACCCCAAAATGGGGGTCTCAAAGGAAGGGATGTCATAGATCCAGCAAATCCCTCCCTGGATGGATGCTTGGAGGAGAGAGGGGAGATCCAAGGGAGCTGGGGAGGAGCATTTGGGGAGCTCTGGTGGAAAGACAAGCTGGAGGGAGACATTTCAATGTGGGGGAGCTCTAGAGGAAGGATCCCCACAGATCCCACTGGGAATAATCTCCATGGGGAAGGATAACCATGGGGAGGTGGGGGGAGCAGGCAAGAGGCCTCCACAGGGAGACCCCAAAGGTTGGAGGGGGGGGAGAATGGTATCCTGTGGGGATCCCTGAGGGGGAATCCCAGGAGGGCAGATCTGAGCCAAAGGCCTCAGGGGGAACCCCCTGAGGGACAGG